CCCATCCCTTCTCCTGTGGCCCCTCTCTTCAAGGAATCACCTCAACAGGAGCCCTGATATTCTAGGCATGCTCAGAGTCCTATCAGCAGCCTCCCCATCTCCTTACCTAACTTCACTGAGCTACTGGCCCTTGGGTTTTCTTTGGGCCTACTGGATCCTATGGCCTGAGGCTCCCCACAGGCTGCAAGTCAACTTAACTGGCTGTGAAGGGCCTTGGTCACCCACAGTACCCTCTCTGCCTTTCCCACTACCAGAGGTCCCAGCATTGGAGGTATTCCATATGGCCTGGAAAACATCTCTATCTGCCCATGTTTACGGTTGCTCCTGTTTATGCAGTTCTCGGCAAGGGTTCCTGTTAAACCTTGGCAGGTTGTAGGAATAGAGCGGGAGATCAAGAACTGAGGGGCTTTTTGAGCAAAACTGGGACTGCTCCTTTAACTGGGTGGCCCATGGTGGGTTCCATGCACCCTCTGCTGGCCATCCTCATTTTTGCAGCTGGAGCTGTTGGGGCAAGACCAGAGCAGCAGAATTCTTCCAAAGAGATTTGAGGCCCCATTGCATGTCAGCCCAGGGACACAGATAACTGCTCTTGTTCTGGGATGAAGTAAAGAAAAAAAATTCCAGGTCTTGATGAAGGCAATGGGTCAGCCTTGCCGCGGCCTATTGGGTGACTGATGGGATGAGCGAATAACGCTTGCTCCCGAGACTATTGACACACGACAGTGTCTGATGGCCAGACACGACACGATAGCCATGTCTGTACCTTTGCTCTTCAGCCAGGGAGATACCCTGTCCAGACTAGCCCTGCTACCCTCGGAGGTGTGATTCCTGCAGGTTATAGAAGCAGACATCTTTCTGATTGCAAGCATCAACTGACTGGTTCAGGGTAAGGGATAAAGTCAGATTCTGGTTCCATGTGAACATTAAGTTGTGAGACAGAGTCAAGGTTAAGGGCAGAGCCAAGGTACAGAGCACAGAATCTCCTCCTTCTAATGTGACAGGCCAAGTCCCACTAGCTTGTGCATGCGTGCATGCGCCTGCGTGTCCAGTGGGTAAGGATCCTCCCACCAAAGGCTGTGGCCAGGTCAGTCAAGCTTCTCACAGGTTCATGCAAATGATGGACACAGGGGAAAATGTAGAAAACTACAAAAAATAAAATTGTGACTATGAAATGCTAGTAACTATAACATTATGTCATGGAAACTAGTTAACTGAGACTCAGCCATGGTTTTACTGGGTAAGTACAAAATGTATTGTATGAGATGTGAGTGTACTGGAGTAAGTTTGATGTGCTGTGGAGTAGTGAGGGCTTCCAGAGGAATGAGTGCCTTGGCCTCCCTGTGGTGGGTCAGAGTCTGGAGCAGCGTTCCTTGGACAGAGAACGGGGCTCACCAACAAGATCAGATGACTGCGTCTCCTCAAGGGGCTGGGGGAGAGTCGGAGCCACAACCACAGCTGATACAGGCCAGGTGGCTGAGGGCTGGAGAGAGCCCACAGGGGGAGTTGGACTCCTGAAGGCCTCGTCCACAAGGGTGACTCAGGGTCCTGTGATTGTGTGGAAGCAGACATACCAAATCATACAATTGTTTTGTACAAATCAGCCAAGAATACCCCATTTGCAATTCATTTTATTTCTATCTACTGGTACATTGTCATAAATAATCAAATCTACAAGGTCTGTGATGGGGATGGAGCCCTAGGCTTGTGCAGTACAGAATTTGCACAACTTGACTGGGCTAGGGTCACTCGTGAAAGGATATCTATCTCATTCTGGAAAGGATAAGAGGTGCCTTAGAAACATGCATCACTAGAGCAGAAGTGCATTCACTTAAAAATAGGAGGGTGGGGGGGAAATGTAGCACAGGGTGAGGAAGGGTGATGTTAGTTAGTGCCAAGACCATGATTAACTGGGTGGTTTGTGGAAGGAGCCTTATGACTGAGGAAAGCAGACGCTGTGATTAAGGACTCCCTGTCAGTCTGAAACTCTCAAGGGTGCTGGTGTGATCTCTAGGGGTAACCAACTCGCTCCCTGTTCTCGTGTTTTCTGAGGGCTGCCATTGATTTCCTTCAGCAAGACCTGCTTTGGGGTGGTAGGGTCAAGGGAGCCAAGGATGAAAAGACCTCGTTCTGGGTGTGAATTAGGGCCTCAACCTGAAGAAGAAGTGCAGAATGGGGAGCAGAGTTTCCAAGAAATATTTGCTGGATAAATAAATGAACAAAACCTTCCTGGTCTACCTCCTTATTAATTCTTAAATCTACCTACTTCTTTCTCTATGCGTTGCTATTCCCTACTTGAGATCAGCATCAGCTTCATGTAGACCCTACACCACCCCCATCCCCAGGCACTCCCAGGCCCCGTTCCTCCTTCTCTTCCTCCTGACAGCAAGTGGACAGGATGCCCTCCCTAGATCCCAAATGGGACCCTGCTCCTCCCAAGCTTTCACCCTGGGGTGGCTGCTCCCTGCCCTCAGCATCATATCCAAAGCCGTTTTAGGGGCCC